ATCCATAGCTCTGCTGGGCCACACGTGCGACGACTAGGCGCGCGTCCCCCCGGCGATCACGTCACTTCCGCCCCAGACAATCGCAACGTTATTAAAAGAGCCGGAAGTTGCCTTTCTACGCGCCGGAAGGAAGGGAGACCCGGGAACGCACTGCGCAGGCGTCGCAGAGCTCTTGTTTGGGCCATGGCGTCCCGAGATCTTATCGGGCCGGTGCTGCCTCCGCATTTAGCCGCCGCCGCTGCCGCCGCCACGGTCGACTCTGTGCCGGGTAAGAAGAAGGCTAAGGCTTTCCCTCGCAGGAATAAGAGGGGCAGCTCTTGAGGGAGAAGGGCCCACTCGGGGCTCCTTTCAGCCTCGGCTGACCTAATCTGGAAGGGAGGGCTGGGCTGAGCAGTGCCTGTATGGCTGGGGCTGGACGGGTAAATGAAATAAATGCATTCCAGAGGAAGGGGATAGTCCCCCTCAAGGAGCAGCCCGTGGCCTCCCTTGGCTGATCCCAATAATGGAAGGCAGGTCAGGTTTCCTTAGTAGTTGGACAGGAGGCTACCAGGAAATCTAGGCTGGTCTGAAAAATTGGGAAAACCTCGCAGAAGAAGGCAGTATCAGATCTCTTCTGTAAGAGCCCTCTTCCTTCCTCCTCCTATTATCATTACTCCCACCTCCTATTTTCCCCACGATAACAACCCTGTGAGGTGGGTTGGGCTGAGAGACCAAAGTCACCTAGCTAGCTTTTATACCTAAGGGGGGCCTAGAACTCACCGTCTCCTGGTTTGTAGGCCAGCACTTTAACTGCTGCACCACACTGGCTCTCGACTCAGCTTTGAAGTGTCTGTCACAGGCCAGCCCAAAGTGATTTTCATTCAGGCAATGAACAACATAATAAGCCTCAAACTGTGGTTGAAACACAACTTGCAGTGCATGTGCAATATGCACATGCTGTCAAACTGTGCTATCTGGATTAGAATAGGGTGAGCAATTCAGAGGCCTCATCCCCCCCAAAACCTCAAATTGTGCCCAGTATTAGTTGCATTGCTGAAATTTAGCTGCCAAATGGCCAATTTCTTGCAACATATTCCTGGGGAGAGGAGGTGTCACATTAAGAGTGGTAATAGGTTCATTAAGCCACAGTGCAAGCTATAATGTTCCATAAAAATCCAGCATTATTCTTTTTTTAGGTAGCATAAATATAAAAATCAAAGTTTTTAATTTAGCGTGAGAACTCAGAAACTGCATCAGTGTAGCTGGGACTTGTACTCAGAGAGGTTAAGTTTTCTGGACATTTTTGAGTCAGAAAAACTTCATATGCAAATAAATATGATTTTAATTGGCATATTACTGCAATATCCACAGTCTGTGTAGATATTTGGGAAAGATTATATGATCTAAAATCAAATCTAGTCTATTTCATGAAGATTGTACCCAAAGAAGCTAACACTTTTGATGTGTGGAGAAAAGTTATTTTTATTAGAATGTTGGAAACAACGTAGGGCAATAAGCAAGAAAGGGTAAATGCAACAGCAGTGTAGTTTCAGCTTCTCAACACAGTCATGTGAAAAGCAAATAGCAGACAATTTTAAAACTAACAAGTGTGCCTGAAGTGCAAAATTTGACCTTGGAAAATTTTCTGCCTCATATCTCCAGCTGCACTTGAACTAATTTTCTATGTTCAAGGGTCTATGTTAATCTTTTGTACCAAAAGTGTGTGATGTTTGTGTGTCTTAGTGTGTCCTCCAAAGGCATACTGGCACCAGGTGCAGTACTCAGAATGTTGGTACAAAAAAAGAATTGTAATACCTTAAAAATTAATAAAGGCTTTACTATAATAAAGGCTTTAGTGTAATAAATCATTTAGCCTAAGATAAGAGTAAACTATTGTCATGTCTGGATTACTTCAGCAGGCTATAGATCAGAGCTCACCTCAAAGAATGTGTCCACATCTTATTCTCATTATTCTCATCTCTGAGAAAAAACGTTTTGATAATTTAGTCTAAAAACAAAGCAATATTCACGTGAAATATGTAATGATATAAAAATGCTCAGTTGCAGGACCAGCATTGCCTCCTGGCTACAAGGAAAACTCTGAAAACTCTGATTATGAGCAGAAATGTGCCTCTGCTTGGGTGTCCAGAGAAACAGATTGGGATTCTGAAGAGGATGAAGATTCAAGTCCAGTTCCCAGGTTAGTGCATTGGCATAAAAGTACGGAACTGCTTTGTCAGGCAGTTGATCCTCATGTGTCAGGGATGGCCAAGTTTTGTATTCTGAGTACTGCCCCTGGTGCCAGTATGCCTTTGGAGGGCACACTAACACACACAAATATCACACACTTAGTGCACCTCCTCCCACAGACATATACAGCATGCTCTTCATCAGCCTGCCTCTTTCTCGAAACAGAAACATGAAAGTTAGGGCACTTCCTTTTTTTCTTTCAGCAAAGGGATGGAAGCTGTTTGATTAGGAGAAGAAATCCTGGCCCACAAACACATCTGCCTGATACATAACATTTGGCAACAGATGTTGAAGTTGGGAAAACAACAGGATGGAATGTGAAGAAGATGCTTCTGGACTATTGTATGGAATGGGTAAAATATGGATTGCCAGTGAGCGTGGTCTCTGCATGTTGTGAGACAATAATGTAAATAATGTTCTCACAACAAGGAGGCGCGATTATCATAACAAGACCTTGTCTCAGTTGACGGCTCAAAACAGATCCCAAAGATCCTTCCTGAATATAGAGACTTGACATCTTCCCAGGCATAAAGATATAAAAGAGGCACCTAGGACATAATTATTTGGTGCCATCCAACCCAAGGGAGAAGACTCCAACTGCAACTATGGATCAGCTCATGCACAAACTCATCTTCCCTGTACCATGCTTGCTTCAGTTTAGCTACCCAAAGTGTGATGATGTAAGCATGAATAATGAATACATTCGTGACTGAATGAATAAATGAATAGGAGCTGGAATTTATATTTTATAAATTCCTTTATATTTTATATTTTTTACCATGTGATTCACTTGTGCCTGTCATGCTGCTGTATGCTTAAGAGTAAAAGCCCTAAATGAACAATCATAGATCAGTGTTTTTATTGGTTAATATCCCTCCCTATTGAATGTTCCGTGGCAACTTGGTAATTCTGTCCTATTTGGGAATAGAATTGATTAAAAATTGTACATAGCACAAGCTGTATCACAGACCCAATGAAGGTAGAATTCACACAGGTTTTTGATGGAGCAGGTTCAAAGGAGGCAGGCAGGCAGACAAGACTGTTTTCTCTTTCCATAACCTCATCGAAGTTTCCTCTTCAAGATCCTGGCTCACTATGCTATAATGGAAGTTCCTCTGGCCCCAGACCAGAGTGCTTTTACTAGCTCCTGATGAGCAATTTCAGATCACTGTCTTTGGTGGTTCTTCCAACCTTTGCCCTTCTCAGTCTTCCTGGTTCTGCCAAACTTTCAACCCTCAGCTTTCCCTTCAGTTCATGTCTTGGTATTCTGCAACACCTTCCCTTTGCATCAAAATATTTCACACTTTCCAGTGCTCTGAATTTACAGTGAGTGCACTGCAGTGCCCAGAACACCTTTGTGTGCATGCTGCTTTGTTGATATTTCTTCTGCTGTGCTTTGCAGTCATGATGTTGAAGTTATTCATTTCAGTTTGCCTTTTCTATGTTATTCTTAATGCAAACATGTTGATTCTGAGGAAACTCCCAACTGCTTGCTTCTCTATGCAGAAAAGTGGTTTCAGCTGGCATATGAAGGTCTCTGGGAGATATGTGGATGCTGGATTGGAGATCAAAAACATTCCAGAAAAGGCAGCAGCAAGCTACACCTGTAACACCATTAAGAAAATGAGCAGGAGTCAGGCTTGAGTTGAGGCCATTTTTACATGTTCCAGCAAGAGTTGGAACTGTTCTGTTAATTAAATGCTTTCTACCTCTTTGATGGCTGCCATTGTTCCTTTCCTAAGTACTGTAAAAGGAGTATATTGTCCATTGGTTAATGAACTAATATGGAATGTTCTTAATCTGTGGGTATGTCTTTCATGTAAGATTATGCCTATTTGATGGCTTAGATCTAATTAACTTAATGTTCCCTTCACAGTTACAACTAATGGATTTTGGTGAAAGCTGACATTCTCAAAAAAATAATACTTGAAGGAGACTTGTAATATTTAGAGAGTCTTCATCAAATTCATGATAGGTACATATAAGCCCATATTGTATCCTGGGACTAATGTTTATATAAGACATTGCATGCTGTGTAAATAATTTTCATCTGAGTAACTTGTATCAGCGGATTGAATATTGTTAGTATTCAAAGGAATATGGATCTCTGCTCCAAACCTGTGTTTATTGCAGAGATTTTAGACCTGAGCTTGATGAATGCCGATGTTGAACCTCAGCAAAACTTGGGAGATATAATTGGCTGTTTCCAGGTTACGTTCAGACTTTACACAACAGCACTAAATACCTCAGACATTTTGTGGCCAGAGAGGAAGATACCCAGAGTTGCTTTGTGTGAGATGGGTGGCTATATAAATGTGACATAAATAAACAGATGATACACCCTGACGTGTATGCTTGGCTAATAGTTTAGCCCAAATCTGCTAACTCCTGCACACCAACATTTATAAAAGATGATTTTGAGTCTTGTTTGGACATAAGTCCTTGTAGATAGGAAAGCTGTTTGCATTATCAATATGCAATTGCTTTAATTATCAATATTTAACTGCAGTGAACTGAAAACTGGAGGTAGTTTTACTTGAAGATTCCCTGAGATAAGTTCCAGTCGTGCATTTTGTTTGAGATGTAAGCAAACTGCTATTCATATTCTAATAATCTTTATACCTGTATTCCTTATCTCTATTAAGGAAACAGAGAAGATGTCAGGAAGATGACGACGATGGGTTTTTTGGGCCTGCTCTTCCTCCCGGCTTTAAAAAGCAAGATGAATCACCAGAAAGGTAATTCACACAAGGGTGTCAGGGAGCAGTAAAGGGGGCACGCAGGTTTGTGGGGCATGCAGTAGAAGGCACCATTCTTTTTTTTTTTTAATAAATTTTTTATTTTTTACAACAAACACAAACAAACAATA